TCGTGAAACCAACAACATAGCAAGAGCAAAAGCACGCAATGCCAGCTTTACTTGTGGCGCCCCTTTCCTTCAGGAAATCGTGGGCCAAGCTTTGAACCTCTTCTGGCCACGTTGCGCTGAACATCAGCGTCTGCCTCCTCTTCGGCAATTGCGCCCTGGGTGCAAGAGCTATCAAACATGACCAAAGCAATCCTTGAAGGCGCATGACCTGAATGCTGGCAAGGAGCACAATGTCGCGAATCTGCGGCTCAAAGCCTCATTGTGCCCGACTTGTCCGACTTGTCCCATGGCGATGGACGGAAACATGCAGCCAGGAGGCCCATATCAAGCATCCTGTCTGCCTCGTCGAACACCAAGTAGGCGACGCCAGCAAGGCTAATTTGTTTGTACCTTCAGTCCCCAATCGCAGTGGGTAGCTGGGCAGCTGCTTTGCAAGCAGGAACTCCTCCTTCCATCACATGTTCAAAATAGCAACTCGCAAAGGATAAAAGCAACCATCATTTTACTCCTGCAATGTCAAGCTCCGTCCTCCTGAAATGATTCCTTGCAGGCCAAGTTGCTCCAAAAAATCATTGAGCCGTCCCGGCGTGGCCACCAGGATCGGCGCACCCTGGCGCACGGCTGGCAGCTGCTCCTTCTTTGGCACGCCGCCGTAGACCTGCAGCCAAAGGCGAGGTCAAACAAGACAGCGCTCGAAGTCTGTGTAGGCCTTGCTACATATTGCGTCAGGCTCCGGATCATTTTATTGTGAGTGCGCAATCCTGGCACTTGCCCATGCTGAACTCCTTAATATAGTTTGTGCTTATAGGCCACACATGCTCTGTGTCCTCAAGCAAGCGCTGCTGATTTGCGCATTGAGTAAGCACTACAATTCCATTGTTTTACTCGAACGGTGGGTACTGTCAAAAGTTCTATGTGAAAATAGCAATTCAAAATCAATTGCTGCCCAAATTGGGACAGGCAAAAAGTCGACAAAATTCTACAATAATTCAAAACCCTGAAAGAAAGGATCCACAAGTATAGGACCTACATCATACTTATACCAAGGTAAGCTGAGCATTGAAAAGTCGAATAAAACAAGCCCAATCAAGAGGAGGGCAGTTGCTGTGATGCCCCCTCAAAGCTCTCCCTCATGCCATTTTCGCAATCTGGCAACCTGTTGTAACACAAGGGTGCCTTGCCAAAAGGCACCAAACGCACACCTTGGTGCAGAGAGTGGAGACCAGACAACCCCAGCAGGTACTGCAGCCCAGCCACGCAGGCGCTGGAGAATCCAGAAGCGTGTGCAAACTTTGTCGCCTCTTCATGGATCTGCGTTGCCAATTCACGAGTCGGTGCCAACATCAGAGATCGCACACCACTTCCTGCTCTGGCACGCATCCAGCAATATGCTGGATAAAGGTATGCCAAGGTCTTGCCAGATCCCGTCCTCGCCTGAGCTACTGCGCTGGCGACCACGGAGGGAGGCCAGTCACCCGCGTCAACTTCACTCGTTTTGGGGCATGTCTGAGGTTTCTAGTGAATTGGGCAGCTCGCAAGCAGCGACTTCTCCGGCATCGAGATCTGCAGTCCAAGGCGCTATGCCGATGACGTCTGTGCCATTGAAGGCCACTGGCCACACCTGTGCCTGGATAGGCGTGGGCCTAGGCACGCAAACGTCTTCAGCAGATGCTTCCCGAGCTCTTTCCAGAGCTGAATAAGAAAATGATACCTACTTTCAACGCAAGCTATTGCGCGCAGACAGCTTCCAAATGCTCAATTGAGATAGCTCTTCCTGCTCGCCTGGTTGTCAACTCCGTGCATGTTTCCCAACGGCCCGACCACAAAGCTCAGGCGCGAACGCTTGAAAGCCAGCAGCCCGCAAAGCGTACAGCAGCTCGTGCGGCATTTGCCTCAATCGAACTTCTGCTGTGCTTGGCCCGCCACATCAAGTCGGAAGCCAGAAGCAAGCTGCAGCAGGGCGCTGGACAACATGCTGCCACATTGAACTGCTAAAGGAGAGAGTACATCCAGACACGCCAACTAGCACCAGCTTCCAACTACCGTTCCCTTCGCCAGCCAAACCCAAACTACTTGCCTTTGGGCGGCGGCGAGCGTTTTTGTTTGGTTAGGGAAGGTTGTGGCATGGTGCGCATATTCAGGCGACACAAATGCAAATCTTGCACCTTCCATCTTCCGTGTGCAGACAAGGGTCGCATGCTCGAAGAACTGCCATGGCAATGGAACAGCCTCAACTGTGGGGGCTGTCGCCCAGAGCATGGCATTCTTGAAGAAAGGAATCCTCGAAGTAAAAAGGAAAAAAGCAGGTGCTAAATTTATGTTCGTTATGGATGTTGGAACTGGTATGCGCTTGTGGCGCAATCCACTCAAGGCTTGCGGGCACGCTATTTCAAGCTTCTGGAGCTTCCGCAAAACGGGGGATTTCCTTGTTGCACTGCTGGGCCAAAGCCTGTGCAAACTGACATCTTTGGTGATGCCTTCGCATGGTTCGCTCTTGCGCTGCTCCTCCACCCCGGCGGGAGCAGGGTGTTTTTTGCTAGTTCTCAGTTCCACTTTGAAGGGAAACCAGAAGAATGCATGGAGACTAATTTCTCTTCGAGACCGGAGGAAGAAAAGTGTGTGGCCAGAAGCATAACATACAGCGACCGCGGCATTGTGGCGTTAAACGTGTTCTTGTTTTCTCGCGCGGCACGCTCGCGCACATCCATCGTGTTCCCGCGTGCGGTCTATGCCGAACGCGTGTCTGCGAATGTCCTTCCATTGTTCCCTTCTGTGTTGCCATGATGTTTCGATGCAAGTATCTCTGGGCGAGCTTTCGGCGCATGTTTCTCTGAACAACTGCGCTGCGCAAGCTTCTCGCGCAAGTTCTCTGTGCAACTATCTCTCTGCAAGTTGCTCTGCTCGTTCTCAACGGGGGGGGTCGAGAACTTCTCGATGCAAGAACGCCGAAAAAAGTTGCACATCGAACACGCCGATCCCCGCAAAGCACAGCAGCCCTCAACTTTGCACCTCGACCATACCGATCCCCTCGCGCTACTTACTCTTCTCGCGCTACTTGCCCTGCATGTGCTCTCCGCTCGTGCTGATTGCTTGCTCTGCATGTGCTCTTGTGCTACTTGCTCTGCATGTACTCTCGTGCTATCTGGCTGCGAAATATGGCTGGCGATCCTAACGGAAGAACCCTTTGCAATGCTTTCGGGAAACATGGTCAGTGCACTTACCCAAGAGGTACGCAACGATTCCCTCAGCTGGATCGGTCAGCCTTTGCGATCGCAAAGCTCAAAAGGATTCTGCCATAGACTGCAACACCCAATTGCCACCAGGACGCCTCTTGGACATCCCATGAAGCCCACGCTCGTATACCATGCGCCAGACGGTAAGGATCTTTCTCCGGATAGTCCGGGCTGACCTGAATCAGCACACGCGGAGCTCGGAGCCACCCTCAGATCTGCAGCCTGGGCGCTATGCTGCTTGGTGCCTTCACATGCTTCGGTATGGCAGTCTTGTGGCTCTTGACCTAAGTCCGTCTGAAAACTAATGGCACAGCTATTAGCAGGAAGCCACGTGTGTTGCGAAGCGCAGGCTACCTGAGCAAGCTGGCTGCAGCAGCCATCGCGGCGAAGTCATTCTCCGAAGCGGATCGCTTCGTTCCGCGAACTGTGTGAAGCGCTTCTTCCCAACCTAGGCTAAGGGATCCAACACACCCGCACCAACTCACCAATCCAGAAATCGTTTGCGAGTTGGCGGCCAGCAGTGTCCGAAGTGCCCGATTTGCTGTTGGCCTAAGTGCACTGATGGGGGGACCAGCCATGACTTAAGACCCCGGTGCACACGACAATCCGTCAATGCCAAGGATCGCTGGTCAGAGCATGGCTCTTCTGGCCTTTGGCTTTGCTTTTGGGCTTGAGGCGAGTCTCCTCCGTCGCTTTGAGGGCGCTTGGCCTGATGCTTGGCCTGATGCTTGGCTTTGGCTTCGGCTTCGGCTTGGGCCCAGCTTGGGGGCTGGGCGCCCTCGGGCTGGTTGACGCGCTTGCTGCGTGCTCATCCGGCTGGCCTGCGCCCAGCTTTCAGATTTCCGGTCGCAGCTACTCCTTACACACCTGGGTCACCTTCGCCCTCCACTGTCCCGCCTGGCTTGGCGGCTGATTTGGCACGCGCACCGAGCTTTGCAGCTTCGGATTTGGCGCCACCTGCGAGCTTGGCCCGTCACCCCACCCCCCCACCCCAAACAAATTGGAATCTATCAAGCCTAAGCAAATGCCACAAGGTTCTTGTGTGCTGTTGTGACAACAGCCCCCTCCTTTCCTTTAAGGAAAAAGTGCACGTTTGCAAAGGCCGAGCGCCAAAGGTGCTGCCTATTCATTAGCTGCTGTTTGAAACTGGTTGTCCATAAGAAACCGAGCTTTCTCAGGAGAAAAAAGCCCCTTCAACCCTGAATTGGGGCTTGTTCGGCGATTGGGGCTGCGACGGCGGCTCAAGCCAGGAAAAGCTGGCAACAAACCGGAGCTGCCAGCCCCTGCTAGCAGCTTTTAGAAGCTCTTCGGCCGCCTGCAAGCTACTAGCTGCTATTGGCAGCTACTTGCAACTTCGGGGGGTCGGGGTCCAACAGGGCGGTCTTGGAATGCGTGGCCGACACGCACCGCCTTCAAACTGGAGACGAATTGTGGATGCATCTGGTCAACACTTGCAGGGAGCCTCTGTGACAACAGTCCCAGAGTCACAACGCTTTAAGTTCAACGCTTTGAGTTCCACAAGCGTATCACACTGGCCGGGTGGCTTTTTGCCGTCGGCCGCAGCATGTCTCAGTTTCGCTGACATCGGCCGGCCATCATGCCTGCTGAGCTTGTGAGCCATGATGGCTGCGGGGTCAGCAACGCAGGTTGCGGCGTCTTGCCAGAATCAGTTGCTATCTCTCCATACCCTCTCAGGCGCTCTAACGGGTGCAAAAACATCAGGCGATGCGATCCCTTTCACATGCTTGCCATGTCTGAGCTCGCAGCGGATAAAAACGGGGCTGCCTATGTCCTGCAAAGGTAAACGATACTCCGCTTTCCTCGCAACCGACCCCTGCTCCAAGGAGGTTGGTGCCTGGGATGGCTGTGCCCTGCATAATCTATTTGTGATTCAGGCAAAGCCGGCGCAGCCATGCAGGGACGGCACCATTTGTTGGAGAAATTTTGGGGTATGTCATTGAGCACCTCCCAGGTCTACAAAGGACGCTCTTCTGGAACCAGCTGACCCATCGGCATCCTACGCCTGCGCGCGAGAATCATTGGGACTGCCTGCGCTTAGGGCCTTCGCGCAGGGCACCCGAGCTCACGCCGGGAAGCACGCGCTTCCAAACACATGCAAACACACGTGAACTTACGCAAGCAACGCGCATACGCATACACACACAGACACGCAGACACAGACACGCAGACACAGACACAGACACAGACACAGACACAGACACAGACACAGACACAGACACAGACACAGACACAGACACAGACACAGACACAGACACAGACACAGACACAGACACAGACACAGACACAGACACAGACACAGACACAGACACAGACACAGACACAGACACAGACACAGACACAGACACAGACACAGACACAGACACAGACACAGACACAGACACAGACACAGACACAGACACAGACACAGACACAGACACAGACACAGACACAGACACAGACACAGACACAGACACAGACACAGACACAGACACAGACACAGACACAGACACAGACACAGACACAGACACAGACACAGACACAGACACAGACACAGACACAGACACAGACACAGACACAGACACAGACACAGACACAGACACAGACACAGACACAGAGACACAGACACAGACACAGACACAGACACAGACACAGACACACACACACACACACACACACACACACACACACACACACACACACACACACACACACACACACACACACACACACACACACACACACACACACACACACACACACACACTACACACACACACACACACACACACACACACACACACACACACACACACACACACACACACACACACACACACACACACACACACACACACACACACACAGACAGACACACATACACATACACATGCAAGTCGGCGCGGAAGGCGGGGGGAGGGGGAATTGCACCTAGTGCCTATGCCCGCACACTCGCATACCCCATCACATCCGCACGCCCCTAAACGGCTATCTTTGCAAGGCCGCATTTGCGTTGGCTTGAAGTAGATTGAGCCATGCCCGAGTCGTCTCCCATGATGCGCAAATCCGTCCGCAGGGCTCTCCGCCGGCAAGTCGACCACTAGCTCCTGCTCTGTCATCCACGTACCTCAGGCAACATCCAAGATGGCACAACTAAGTACTCGTGTTCTGCCTCTTGTCAATCAAAGCACCCAAAACATCCAAGGGCTTGAATGCCAGGGCGTTGGCAGCTAGAGTCCTGTAGCATCAGCTGCTGCAATGTTTGCACGCCCACCTGAACGCGACATTGCGACGCTGTATTAGCTCCTTCTCCCTTTTGCAAATCCAGCCACTCGAATCCAAACCCCATGCAAAGTGCTACATTGGCTGACAGCCGAGCTCCAAACCACCCAGTGGCAAGGGAAGTTGGCTCCCCAAGCATCTGCCTGAGGACGGCAAACTGCAGTCAGAGCGCACGCGTTGCAACGCAAATGGCGCCATCACAATCGGGAGGGAAATCTGGCTTGGGCCTTGAAGGGTGTAATTATGCTTAAGAGTGATTTGAACTTCCACTGTCATAGTGAAATCCGAGGTCCATCACTGCATGCTAACCGCCAACTCCCTTGCTGCTTGCCTCAGAGTGCGCATCCGGGATGCCATCCATATCCGTATCTCTGGGCTGCGCTCCCATCAAGGTGGGCCTGCACATGCCACACATGTACACGATACGGGTTCTCCACTCAGCTGCGACAAGCTGCGAGGCCTGTTGAAGGTCAGCATCATCTGGCAACACGCCATTCAAAGGCACAGTGGGCAACACGGCCAAAGGCGCCTGTCTTCCGCTCGTCAGAAACTCCGCCAGAATGAGCCGTGGCCTCAAGAGCACAGCATCCATCCATGCGACGGAGGGCCTGGTTCAGGTGCCCCGCGCGGCAAGCTGCCACCCGGCAGGGTCTGTTCTGTCAAACGGTGCCTGGAGACCATCTGTGCAAGAACACGCGCCGGGGCTATGGTGGCCGTCGACGCGCCCCATTCGCCCAGTGCCTCTATAGCAATGGTCGAGCGGTCGCCCGTGGCCTGGGAGGGAACGGGTCACTTGAGGCTGAGGCTCTCAAGCGGAATGCACCGCGAAAGCGACGGCCCCACTCGGCAAGCTGCAGTCCAGAGAAAGGATCCAGAGCCTAAGCTGCTCCCCCTGTCACGGTGCCAAAGCACCTGACGTCTCAGGCTGCCGCCATCACAGCGCGACCTTCGCAGGTGACGTAGGATAGCACATGTGGTTTCTGCAGGTATCTCCAAGTGCAGGAGGATAGATTGCGCAACATGTCTACTTGTGATGAGCTTCGCAACAAGGCACGACTCGCTCGTCCATAAGCCAACAACATCGCGAACATCCCAGTGATGAACGACCTTCTGAGGCGAAGGCTGGGCAACACGAGCCTCACCCTCAACGTCCTCAGCAGAAAACCACAGGCCAAGTGCTACAACTCAAACCATCCTCAAAGCCCTTTTTGCGTACCTCACTTGAACTTCAGCTATCCAGGCACCCAGCTGAGGAGTTTTCCCCAGGCTCCGTGGCGAAGAAAACAAACCTCACTTGCAAGTTCTTGTGCTCTGGCGTTCCCTTGCTTGTCTGAGAGCCAGGCGGATGTGTTGGATGCGATGCGGATCCTAAAGGAAAGCGCCAAATCCGGTGCCGAGTGGCTTGCAGTAGCCACCCCGCCTGTCAAGTAGACAAACTCCTGATCTGGCCTTAGGCGAGGGGCGGCGAGGGGCTCGTGGCAAGGATGGTATCTGCTTCAGAGACGCCACAGCTGAAAGCACACCGCTGGCCGAGGCAGGCATGCAAAGCTTGTTTCATTCGATTCAGCCAGCTTTGGTGTCGAAACCCTCATCCAGCTGCCGCACTGCCACGTCCAGCGTTTTGCCGAAGGCCTTAGCAGCTAACGAAGCACTCAGCACCGGAAATTGTCCGCCAAGGGCCGTGCCTCCAGCGAGAACCTATCGCACACACGCTGCCTGCCAGCCTCTGCAAGTAAAGAATCAGCCACTCAGCGTGTCATTTGGCTGTGGGTCAAATCCAATGGTACCATTTTCGGGAAGGTGCACCACCCAGTTTAGTCCATTTTAGTGGGGATTGGGATGTTCACTGGAGGTTCGGGATTGCGACCCATAGCCATTTAGCTTTGCTGGGGTCTGGAAAGCACGGCGTGTCACCCAATGCCTCACCAAAGCGCTGCCGCTGCAGATCATCCAGCAAGTTGCCCACGGCCTCTGCCCAAACCTCAACGAGACGGGCAACAAGCCATCGGAGTGCTCGAGACGTGCCTGTGGCTCTGGAGCACGTAGGAAACCAGTCTCCTTGGACCACCAAACTTGGCGGAGCCCAGTGCAAAAGTGGCATATGGCTTTGCCGAGCCGCGCCATCAACAATGCTCTCCAGAGGGCCGCCGGAGTTTACTGCCACGACCGGGACCCGCGCCTTTCGGCACGCGCCATGCCATCGAATCAAGACCCAGACTGCTGCCGAGGAGGCACGTACATAGCCTCCACTGGCACAATCCCAAAGTGCTCCCGGTCGGGAGTGTACAGCATGCACGCCTCGGGCGGAACACTCGAGAAGCACCGAGAGGCTATGCGGGTCCCAGGCAGCATGGTGCAGAAGCGTGGCTTTGTCCACCGCTGAGACAGACCTGTCGCAAGGGACCAGGAAAGAAGGGCGAGACAAGGCAAAGCAGACCAGCCTCATCTGCAAGACCCGGTCTGCAACTCCCAGATCCCTTGCCAGGTCCTGCGATTTCGCAGCAGCCCTGCCAAACCAGAACCTCAAACTTCTCCTCCAGCTCTTTGGCATGTTCCACATTTTCAGGCAGCCGCTCATCGTACCCGCCAGCCAGCACCAAGCCTCACAAAGTAGTGGCTCAAGGGGCAATCCAAACGCGCCCCAAGACATCAGCTCGTGAACTTCCGGCTCCAAACTCCCCCAAAGTCCAAAATTGAACCGCCCAATTCCTGGTGATTTAACAGGGATCCTTACACTATACACCTGAACATTGCCTTGCAAATGGTGGTTTCCCTCTATTTTGGTGGAAAAAGCAACATGTGTCAAATGGTTGCAGGCGAGCATCGCGTGCTGCTTCTTCGGGACTCCGGAAGTTGAGCTAGCGTCCTGCAGCCGCTAGCTAACGGCCCCAAAAGCATGACCAGTCTTAAGCGTGGCAACTGACCGCAAAAACAAAGCAGTGGGCACCAGTCAACTATTGAATTTGGGAATGCTTGTTGCGATGCAAGCTTCTCACTTGCCGTCCTAATTGCCAAACCAACATTCTTCTTTCGCTCGAAGCGGTTGATGGACCTGTCACTCGCCGCGTCCGCTCAAGCAGCGTAGAATATCAGGAGCCAACAGCAGCAGGTGCTCGCCCTCCTTTAAGAAGTCCAAACTCCGTGCCGCCTTCCGATCGCCAAAGCTACGAAAAGCTACAGCTCTCCGTTCAATGCATTGGGACCTTCTTGGCATTCTCGTCTTGGTCCTGCAAGTTCAAAGGCGGGTAGAGCCTGAGCCCACAATGGCACAGACTGCGTGTGAGCACGAATGGCCCTGACACATCTGGGGTCACTCCAAAGCGATGCCTCGGCAAAGCCAGGCTGTCAGACTGCAAGAGCATGTGCCAAGAGCCGCGCAGCAGCGGGAAAGCCGCCGCAAAGACTCCAGCAGTGAAGCGGGAGTTGACGAAAATTTGGTCAGCCATGCCTTGCAGACGCTTTTCGGCCACAACGCGAGGAGCCAGGCTGACAGGCCACACGCACATGCACACATGCGCAACCACGGCAGGCAGCGCCTGTCGTCACCTCCTGGCAGCGTTCGTTGTGCCACTGGCAGAATCGCTCCCAATCTCTGAGTCTCTTGCAGCCAGTGCTCCATAACTCTCTCGAGTTCAACGGCGGAGGCTTGAACTGCTTTTGGGCTGCCGGCTTCACTGCGACCCGAAGCCTTTGGGCCGACGCGATTCGCATCTCCCAGTGGTCACGCGGTGCTTACTGGCTTGTGTTGCCGCTGGTTCCTTTGATTTTGGGAGGCTTGCCTTGTCGGCAATCATCAGAGCTTTCTCTGCGAGACCTGCACCCGCCCAGTCCTCCATCAAGTCCAGTGGAGCTCTGTATAAGCGCTTCAGCACCTCAGCAGGTCCGTGCTCCCTTGACAAGAACAACTATACTACTGTAGGATTACTGTGGCTTGCACCGATGTCTTTGTGGTTAAGAGGTAGTCCTTGGCACAAGCCACATCCAAGGCCCAAGCAGCAGGTTAGCCGGTTAGCCTTGTGCCCATTGCATCCATGCTTCAGGGTAATGGCAGTAAAAAATGATGCCGCGAGGTCTGGCCCAGCGAATGATGGGCAGGCAAACGGAGACCTTCCAAAGGCAAGCCGGCGCAGCGCAATCGGCTTCGCTCAGCTTCAAGACGGGCGTGGCATATGGCTCTGGGTCAAAACCCAGGAAACCCCTGGTGAACATCAAAATAGGTGGCAAGTGGATGTTCATCCACCCCAAATGGAGCCATAGGCTATGCCCCATGGCCATATCTTGTCATGCCACTGTTCGTGGCGCCTGGTCAACGATGATGACCTCAGCCGCTGCAAGAGCTCAAATCAAGAGCACAGGTTGGATCATTCACAGCCGTTCTGATGCCGAACCCCGTGGAATGCTTGGGATGACGGCGTGGAAGGGCGTCCGCAACGACAGGAGGACGACATGAAGACTGACCCAACACCTGGCCCACATGGGCCCCACATGGGCAGGCAGTGTTTGTCCTTGATGCTGCCATAAAGCGTGCTCTGTCTTTCTCAGTTCCGGGCATGCGAAGATATGCACATGCAGCATAGAATCGTCCCAGCACCCTCCTGCAAACAGTCAAACTGCAAACTGACCAGAATTCCAAGGCCGAACCCAAACGCAGTCCTGGGCAAGAAGTCACCAAAAACCTGCACAGTCAGCGCACCATTCCTGCCAGGATGCCGCCAACAAAAACAAAATCGCATAGACCAGCAAAGGCCATATCGGTTGCGACCTGTTCTTGTTCGGCTTTGCCTGCGGGATTCAGCTTGGTGACCTACTGGTAGGCTCGAGTCGCTTTCACCTCAAAGTGTGACCTGTACTTGCTTACAGTACATCCCTCATGGTTCACGCCTGGAACATGTCGCAGCCAAAGGCAGCAAACGGCCGGGGGGAAGGCAAAACAAGCTCTTCAAACACCGAGCCGCAGTTTTGAATAGATAGCTCTTGCCGAGGAGATCTGGCCTCTGTTGGCCTCTTAAGGACTTCCTCGTGGCTCCCACTTGGATTCCCTCGAGTGCATGTCACGAGGCCATGGAAGCCCCAAACCTCCGAAGGACCAAGCGCGCCAACGTCACCCTGGACAGCCTGCCTCGCAACACATGCAGCTGCACGGGAGCGCGCCTTGTTTCTTCAAAGCAATGGTCCTTCTCATGCCTCAAGAGGAAGCAGTTTGATTTCTGGAAGCATGAGCTGAGCAGCTGCACAGTCAGGCCTTGCGGTGAACATAGTTACCTTGGTCAGAAATTCCCGTGTTGAACACTCGAGTGCGCAAGCCAATTGTTTCCAATTGTCATGGCCAAGGGGCCGTATGCCCGGCTTGCTGCAAGGCCAGGGCAGCATCGACCACCAAGCGCCTTGTTCCGGCTGAAACATCTTGAAGGAGCAACAGGGGAGCTGAGCAGCTGGGGGCGCGGCTCGGCACCTCCGATTCCAAGATCTGGATGCACAAACCTAGAAGTTGCGGCACTTTTGCAATGAAGCGGTCTCAGTCTCCAAGGAATCCACGCCACCCTGATCTTCTCGCCGGCTCCCTTTGCTTGCTGCACCCGTGGCAGCAAGAGGCCGAGCATCAGCACAATCAAGAACGGCCTGCAGCAAGCAAGGTGATAATCCTGCTTTGGGCTTTTGCTACACCTGACCCCTGCTCAGGCCAAGAGACGGCACGACAGCAGAGAAGAGCAGGAATGCCCATGCTGCAGCAACAGCAGCCAGGCTCCATAGAGACATCCCGCGACTTGACCCGCAAAAGGATACTATGCCCGGCGACTACGGCTGCCAGAATATCCACTTGGAGGTCCTGATGCTTGGGATGCACAGCTGGTTGGTTTCACCATTTTGATACCAGAACCAGGTGACGTAGTGCTAAGAATAGCATGCCGAAACAACGCTTGACATCCATCCCCTAGGCCCAAACATGAGAGCTGCGGCAGTCAGGAATTCAGGCACTCCGGCACTCAGGCACTCAGCACCGCATCAAGATCTCACCGAGCTTGCGGCCCAGCCCCTGCACAGGCCTGCCCATCCTCCGAGCACCTCAGCGTGAAAGACTGCCCAGCTACCTGCGCTGCGCAGGGGTGCCGGGTGCCGCGCCTCGGCAACTGGACCTTGCCACAAGCAGCTCGCAGCTACTGTCCCCGGACCTATCCCACCCAAGCTCCACACAGTGCCGAACGCCTCTGGATCAGCAAGCAGGAACTCCCCTGGCCAGAGGCCCAAAGAATGTGTGTGTTTTTTTTGGTTGCGTGGGCAGCTGCCTTCGGACCCGGCTTGCGCCGGAGCCGTGAACAGCGCAGTGAAGCCTCAAGATCAAGCCAGGCACCGCGAGGCAGTGACCTAGTCCACTTAGTGTGTCAACATGGTGCTTGCCATGTTCAGGCTGGAGGCCGGGTGGTTGATCTGCTTCACTGGGCAGTGGCTTGCAGAGCTCGAGTGCGGCCACCTGGACGTTGCTGACGGCAGTTTCACGCCTCCACTCCATCCGACGCCTCCTCGAACTGCTCGGAGGCCTTCCACGAGACCGTGCGGTGCACAATGTTCACCTGACTCGTCAGAACCGGCGCAAGTACCCATCCGATTCAAGCCATTCAACCCATTCAACGCACTCAACCCTTTCCTCAGTTCATCCCATTCAACGCGCGAAAAATCTCAGCGCTGCGCTTCTAACAAGCTCGCCGTTACAGCTGCACCGGACCGTGGCACCACCACCAGCGCCAGTACGCGCCCCTCCGGGTCAAAGGAGCAAGCCTCGCAACTCACATGGCCATAGGTCAAAATCCAAACCGTAACACCCACTAAAATAGACTAAAATGGGTGGTGCACCTACCCCAAAATGGCACCAAAACGGTTTTGACCCACTGCCACATTCTGAAAGGCAGCTCTGCCACCAGCAGAGGCTGCGGCCGGCATAGACAGCTCATACTGGTCAGCCTCTTGGGTGGAAAGGGCTTCCATCACCTACCGAACTGGCCAGCTGGCAAACGAAGAAAAGAAAGAAGAAGTGCCAAGCACCCGCCTCCACGCGGATGGGACAGCCAGGGCAGAGCCTTGACGGCGCTCTGGAAGCCCAAGTGACGCTTCGCGCTGAGGCTGGCGCAGGGCTACATACACGCCTCACAGCCCGACAGAAGCGGAAGGTGAACCTATGAAAAGTCATCCTTCCGCTCACTTGGGGCGAAGCCGCCTGTTGTAGCCCGGGCCTAGCCAGAAAAAGTTGAAGTTGGGAGTGCGCGATAAAAATGATCACTCATTCGAAAGAAGCGAGCATGTGCAAAGGACTCTGAGTGCTCGCGCCAGTGTCACCACTTTTTGAGCAACACCATCATATTGGATACCTGCCAGCACACGAGCCTTCAACGCACAGCCCTTCAAGGCAAGGCACGGTTAGCTCAGGCTGCTGCATTCAGGAACAAACCCTAACCGCATGTGGTGATGGAACCTGACTGCCACATATGGCGTGCGGCAAGATGCAAGAAGCCTTGCAACTTGTTGCGCCAAGAACTTGGAATTTGCAATGACCGAGCGCCTGACACAGGCTGCCCAGTCTCAATAGCAACCGCGTGCAAGTAGTGGGAGACATCTGCATACCTCAACGCATTTTTCAAAAGGCAACAAAAGACGTGCAAGCTGCGTGAGCCGTGGATGCAGCCCAAAAAAAAGGAAAAGCAACGTGAAGACCAATGGAAAACCCTCAAGGGCCTACCAAGTTGCCGGCAAAAAAAAAAGAAACGGCGAGGCCCTGTTGAGCGGCGCCGTGCTACGATCATCACCCCCAATAAAAACTAGGCAGTGGGACCACCTAGCCATTGGCCGTTTTGGGTTTTGGGCGCTGCTCGGTTGGAAGGGCAAGTGAAAAAGAAACGGAAAAGAAAAAGGATAAAAAAAGCCGGCACGATTTGGAGAGGAAGCCCACATCAACACCGCGCAACCAACAACCAAAAAAACACATGTGTGCAAAAAGCGGGCATCATGCAACCTCATGCAGGTCGCGGACTATCCACAATCCCTCTCGTGCTGCGCCGGCTTCCAAGCCCCGTGTTTGTTTGCGGTTGTTTGTGTTTGTTTGTGTTTTTGTTTGTTTGTTTTTGTTTGTGTTTGTTTGTTTTTGTTTGTTTTTGTTTGTTGTTTGCTTGTTTTGGTTTGTTTGTGTTTGTTGTTTGCTTGTGTTTTGTTTGTTCTTGTTTGTTTTTGTTTTTGCTTTTTTGTCTGTTTGTATTTGTTTGTTTTTGCTTGTTGTTGTTTGCTTTTGTTTGTTTTTGAGTGTTGCATTTGGGTGGGGAGGAGACATGTTGAGCAAACTGTCCCACATGCAAAGTGAGGGCATACCTGCGGCATACACAATCACTCAACCAAAATCATTGCAACCAGACACATGCCGTTCAAGAAACAATGTATTAAATTAGTTAAATCATGTTCAAGGCATCTTCGCCGGGGAGCAAGCGCTGGGGGACAGGAACTGGAACGAGGGGAGTTACGAGGCATAGGCAAAGAAAGGGCATGGAGACAAACAAGGAAAGGAACAAGAAGGATGGAAGAACGAGGGGAGGAGAAGGATAAGATAAGAAAGTTGAAAACAAAGGAGAGGAGGAGTAGGACAAGGAAAGGAGGAGAACAAGGATGAAAAGAGAACAAGAAGGAGGAGGAGAAGGGGGAGAAGGAGAAGGGGGAGAACAGGAAGAAGAAGCGGAAGCGGGACAAGGAGAAGAGGGAAAGAAGAAGGATAAAATCGTGAACGACCGGAAGGAAGGACGAAAACAGAAGACTCACTTCCACTTGCTTGATGCAACGAACTGATGGTGGCTTGACCCGCCGACCGCTATGTAAAAGACTCTGCAGACAGCATCAAGCGCTGAGGCTGCTCACGTTTGCCATGTGATGCCAGGAGGAACATCAGCTTGAACCTCAGAGCTGAACAACGCGCCATGCCGCAGGCAACACCGAAAGGAAAGCAGTGCCGCAGGGGTATCGGAACCCGGTCGCAACGTACCCTTCCGGTGCCCATTGTCGCTTGCGAATAAGAACTCAAAGCTCCAACAAAGTCTCTTGGCACAGCTCATTTCAAGCGACAGATGAGGATTGCCACTGACACAGGATCTGAAAGTTTGGTGCAGCCCTGCACCTTGCAATGTGAGAATCTAAGGAGCTGTCACTGGCCGGCACACTGGCGACCACCACCTTGCTGCAACCAAAGCCCTAGTTCAACGATGAAAATGAAGCCCTTCCGCCTGGTACCAGATACCGAAGCGCGCCGAAAAAACGCCGCGGCGCCCGAGCCTCGGAAAAACAATGAGAAAAAAAGAAGAAGAAAAACAAATAAGGAAAAAAGAAAAGTAAAGAAAAGAAGAAAAAAAAAAAAAAAAAACGAACGCCGGCCGCGTCCGACGAGTCTCAAAGCGACTCGGCTTGGCACGGGCTGAGGCCGTCGAACTCTCGCAACGCCGAGTAGACGTGCTCCGCGCCTTGGGCTCCCTCCGCCCATTCGACAACTTCGCGGGCGGATGCGGATCCGGGGGCCCGGCCGCCGCAGCGCACGGAAGGCTTGGACTGGAAAGCCGAGGCCTAGGTTGGAACTTGCGAAGGGAAGCGCACGGCAGCCAGTTTAAAGCCCGAAAAAATGCAACGCGACATTGGCATCCACGGAAAATAAAAAGTCGTCTGCTCGCTGCTGCGGGCCTTGAATCATGCATATCCCTCGTGCCACTATGCTGTGCCCAGAACCAAGAAGCCAATAGAAACCATAGAATCAGACATGGCAAGCAAGAATCGCTCTCTTTGACCTGCTCTCTGCAGTTCAGCGCTCGGCTGCATAAATGCCTAGCTCCTGATCATCGCACAGCCTGTGATCCAAGCATGCCGTGCCCAATTTCATCCACGCTTGGACGCTTGGGCCAAGGCAAATTGCAAGTTGCAGCCTCTGCTGCGCCGAGAACATTGTCCTCCGATTCGGGCCAAGTGCCACGTCTCTCCCATCGCACGGGCGATGCCATTTGGGCCCGCACAGAATCGCAGCAAAAGCACCTTGGCGTGTGTCATCGGTACGGCAAGCAATGGAAAAGTCAAACCTTGCATTCTTTGGGGCTACATTGGCATGTGAGCCTCGGGCTCTCTTCCTCGCACTAACAGCGTTCTGGGCAGCCTCCAAGTCGGTTCAAAAAAATGCACAATAAATTGCAACACAACATTCAATACATGCAAAAAAAGCACTCGTCGTGGCCGTGCCGCCTGCCCAGCGGAAGACCCTCGCACCTTTCAAGCAACGAACTGCTTGCTTAGAATGCTAAAAATAAGCCCCCCAAAAAAAAAAACGATTTACTCCAGGCAAGCAAGCGGCCATGAGACACAGTCCAGGCGGCTGCTCTGTGTGAGCGTCGTGGCCTCCAAGCGATCAAACCACGATGCTTGCAGTCGGCTTGGTCCGGCAAAAGTCGCCGACGCTCCCGAAACCAAAAGTGGCGTGGCACTAGAGATCACTTCAGCCAGGCTTTGGCGACCACTTGCCTTTTGGGGCGCAAAGAAGATAGTTCCAACTCTACGGCCAGACATTCAACCAAATGTGCCATAAGGTTTGCCCAACGAGCTAGCCAAACAGAACTTGGCTGATTCCTACACATCTGTTGATCCAAGTCCTGCTTCACGTCTTGGAGCGGTGCTGTTCAACTGAAGGCCATGCAAAGGCCAGCTGCTCCATTTTGGCTGCTAGAGCTACTGACCGTTTCTTGTTCATGATGCCTCGCAAAGCGATGGAACAGCCCAGGCTGTGGCTACTCAGTGATCCATACAAAAATTACCGAGCGGAACTGGAACTCATTCCTGCATGGCCTGCTTGCTACAAAACAAGCAGCTGCAAGCTCCTGTTCCATTTCTTTCTGATTTTCTGAGCAAAACAAATCATCCCGTGGGCCCTACCCAGCCTGGCAGACAGACGGCACGGACACTGCACGCACGCAGCCAAAGTCGAGGAAACCTGAAAGCTCCACCTGGCCAGGGGGCTGTGCAATCTCCTGTGCTGTGCTGGGGAGAGAGAGAGAGAGAGAGAGAGAGAGAGAGAGAGAAAGAGAGCCTGCGGATGCTCGCTCCCGTGGTTGTTGAGCTGCTCAATGGTGGATCCTCAGCTCAGGTTACTCGGCCGCATTCGCCACGGCATCTCTCAAGGTGGCCGACGCCAGGATCCATCCTCCTGCGTGACGTCGCGGAGGGCCTGAGTCAGCCCATCTCCCCATCGAAGGCTTTCTGCTCACTCCCCTGCGAAAAGTGACTCAATTTTGGTGGTTTAATACGGAAAACCCATTGGTTGGCAAAAAGTTATTAAAGTCCTAACATCCCTTAGAAGAATGCAGCAAAGTTCCATCGAGGGCAGATGAAAAAATGGGTCACTCGGGGTGCCGGCATCCAAGTAGAACGTTCCATCAGTTCCATCCTGCCCTGGCACTAGCTGAGCTGTTTCTTTTCGCGAGTCGGGGCATCTCCGGCCACGCCTCTGATGCAGAAAAGCGAGGCCAAGCTCAACAGGCTTTGGATCATTCGTGCATATGCCTCGGGCTGCCAAAGGAACGGCTACACAAGTCGAGTTCTCCGTCTGAGCCTTCCACTTTGAACCCAATTCTACCAAATGAGCTGACCAAAGCGCCATGTTTCTAGGAGAAGCAATGCGGTAGGTTGGAGATTGTGGTAGGCTCCTTCTGAAAGCCATGACATGCTCAAGCTTGAAGCACTTGCGCACGCACGTCAGTCCGCACATGAACCTAGGGGAAAGGTGATAGGTAATTCTTACTTCCAAATCGTCCAAATGGCGGCTATCTGAACAGGACATAATATTCAAACCTAACCGTGGTATCATGAACCCATCCCGCAGCCACATCTTGCGAGCCACAGGAAGAAGTCTGAATTCAGCAACGGCACCCAATGCCAAACTCGGTGAATCATGTCAGAACAAACCAGCGCAACCCCAATCTTTTCCTCACTCTCCCTTCACCTGGCATGAACCCTGCAAGGGCTTTTTCGGTGAGGAGAAAGGCCGCAGAGCAAACTTCAGCCTTTGCCCTGTGTCTCCTGCATAGTCTGGCCTAAGAATCATTGTTTGCATGCATCCGCTAGAGGTGTTCTGAGCTTGTTGCAGGAATGCCAACAAAGCCTAATGCCACCGCTGCCAGCACTATCAAGCACAATCAGGCACAGAGTGCACCACGCAAGGGGGAAGTTGTCGCGCATCAACCGAGCCCAAGACCTTGCAAATGACGCCCATCGGAAGCCTGAGCTGGCGGCACAGCCCGCCCTACTCGAAAACAATCAAACAAGCAACAAGCAAGCAAGCCAACCAGCCAGCCCAACCAAACCAAGCCAAGCAATCCAACAAACAAACACAAAGCCTGGTCAAAGCCTCACACACAAACAAAGAAACAAACAAACATGCATACATGCAAACATGCCTACGTGCATGCATGCATACATGCCTACATGCTAACACGCCTACATGCATACATGTAAACATGTATACAGGCAAACACCCAAACACTCAAACCCACAAACAAACAAGCAAGCAAGCAAGCAAGCAACCAAGCAAGCAAGCAAGCAAGCAAGTAACCAAACAAGCAAACAAGCAAACAAGCAAACAAGAAGGCAAGCAGACAAACAAACAAGCAAACAAACAAACAAACAAACAACCAAACAGCCATTCAACCAAACAGGCAGGCAGGCAAGCAAGCAAGCAAGCAAGCCAAAAAAAAATGCATACAAACAAACACAACAAGGCCAGGTCAATTCACCAGTGTGGTTGAAGAGCCGCTCAAAGCCACAACTTAGGACCTGAGTGGCCAGCGCTGAGCAGCTCGAGGTCTTTGGCAGCCGTGAGCAGTGAATGAAGAAGCCACATCTGCACACGTGCACAGCACTGCCACACACGCAAAAACACAAAAAAAAGCAGAACATTGCGTTGAAAGCAACACACGGCAGGGCTGCACGGCTGCCAAGAATAGCATCCTTCAAGAAAATCGTGGAAGGTGGCTATTGCCTAAGCGTAGCTGCAGCTAGCAGCTAGCCAGCCACTTCGGGCCGGCATTTGTTTTAAAAGAGCCAAGCACTCACCCTCAAGGATGAGAAAAGGCGGAACTGCACAACAGCACATCATGCTCCAAGCAGTAGGCGGCCGCGCCTCATCCATGCACGCCTCACTTCTCTGAAGCTTGGTCCTGACCTTTGCGAACTTTGCCAGGCAGTCATGATGCTTATGATGCTTGCACACTGCACGGCTTTCGGGCTTCCAACATGGGTGGTAAAGCAAACCTGCTGCTGCACCTAAAACCCATGGAACCCATGGAACCCAACGACTTTAAAGACCAAGGCCAATGTCACCTATCGGTCAACCACACGTGGCCGGTCCAAAAGACCACAACAGGCAGATCGAGCGAGTGACATGCAATGACTCACAGGGTACGGGGTCTGCATTTGCTTTGCTGCCCCGCTGCCGCGCCCATGCGGAGCGGCTTCTCCTAGAAGCCGAGGGTGCGTCACGTCACCTGGCAAAAAAAGCACACGTCACAACGCTCGAGGACACATCGTGCCCGCTCTCCCACAAGCGTCAAGCAGGCCAGCGATAGCCCAGCAGCTTGCTCAACATGCTGGGGTTCAAGTGCACGCGTCAATGAATGCCATCCACAAAGGGAACAAAAGGAACACATCCAACCGTCCAACTTCTTGCGGCGTCTGGCGCGCAGCCAAACCAAAAACGGCCAAAGAGGTCGATTCACACAAAAGCACTCCGGGGGAAAGCGGGCAAGCGCCTGGGGCCAAGAGGTCTGTGAGCACCATTGCCACAGTATGCGCGATCCAGGCCTCAAAGTCAAAGGCTGACAGCTAGTTAATAGGCGGCTTTTCACTCACAGCAAAAGGTTCTGACCTTTGGCCGCCCGAGGCCAACCCACCTCAGAATGTGATGCCTGCGTGACTCAACAGCGTTCCCACGTTGCCCTTCAGGCCACTACCCGAAATGCCTGCAGAGAAAGCTGGGTGCCATGTTCACTGCAAGGCAAAACCTACACAATGTCCGTTTCAGGCCTGCCGTTCCATTTTGTAAGTTTCATCAATGGCATGCTCGAGACCTCGGCGTGCACCGCACGGTGACTGAGGTGCATTTTGCGTGCAGGCCGTGTCCGGCTGAAGCTGAAGCTGACTCTTGATATTTATGTCTGTTAGTATGTACATGCTTGCGGCCTACGGACTGTTATGTCCACAATTGGCTGGCGCACCATCATCTTCTGAATTTTGGCCGCCGACCACGCCCATCTATCACTAATGGTGCTTTGGCAATTGGTTCACCAAACGCTTCAGAGAGATGAACTGGCTTGGGCAGCAACTGCCGGGCCGGCCGCTTCAGTTGCCGCTGGGCAAGCCACCAAGGGTCCCATTTCCTTGATTTGCTTGGGTCTCCTGTGCCGCTGCCTGTGGCACTGCCTGAGGTGCCTGTGATGCTGCCTCTGGTGCTGCTGCCTGCGGTGCTGCTGCCTGCGGTGCTGCTGCCTGTGGCGCTGCTGCCGATGGCGCTGCTGGCTGTGGTGCTGCCTGCGGTGCTGCTGCCTGTGGCACTGCTGCCTGTGGCGCTGCTGCCTGTGGCGCTGCCGGTGGCGCTGCTGCCTGTGGTGCTGCCTGCGGTGCTTCTGCCTGTGGCACTGCTGCCTGTGGCGCTGCTGCCGGTGGCGCTGCTGCCTGTGGTGCTGCCTGCGGTGATGTTGCCTGTGGCACTGCTGCCTGTGGCGCTGCTGCCGGTGGCGCCACTGCCTGTGGTGCTGTCTGCGGTGCTGCTGCCTGTGGCGCTGCTGCCGGTGGCGCTGCTAACTGTGGCGCTGCCTGCGGTGCTGCTGCCTGTGGCGCTGCTGCCTGTGGTGCTGCTGCCTGTGGCACTGCTGCCTGTGGCGCTGCTGCCTGCGGTGCTGCCTGCGATGCTGGCGCTGCTGCCTGTGGTGCTGCCTGCGGTGCTGCTGCCTGTGGCGCTGCTGCCTGTGGCGCTGCTGCCGGCGATGCTGGCGCTGCTGCCTGTGGCGCTCTATCTGGGGCCACGTTCGACCCCCTCAATCCTGCACTGCCAGGGGGCCTTCTTTGCTCACCATCTGGCAAACTGCTGGCCGGCGTGGTCAGAGTCGGCTGTGGCACGTCTTCACCACTGCCACTTTCAAGGCTGCCGCTTTGCGCCCCATCAGGCGGGCTGCTGCCAGGCGCGCTGGTCGGAGTCGGCTGTGGAACGCCTTCACCACTGCCACTTTCAAGGCTGCCGCTTTGCGCCCCATCAGGCGGGCTGCTGCCAGGCGCGCTGGTCGGAGTCGGCTGTGGAACGCCTTCTCCACTGCTACTTTCAAGGCTGCCACTTTGCGCCCCATCAGGCGGGCCGCTGCCAGGCGCGCTGGTTGGAGTCGGATGTGGCACGCCTTCACCACTGCCACTTTCAACGCTGCCACTTTGCGCCCCATCAGGCGGGCTGCTGCCAGGCGCGCTGGTCAGAGTCGGCTGTGGCACGTCTTCACCACTGCTACTTTCAAGGCTGCCACTTTGCCCCCCATCAGGCGGGCTGCTGCCAGGCGCGCTGGTCAGTGTCGGCTGTGGAACGTCTTCACCACTGCCACTTTCAAGGCTGCCGCTTTGCGGCCCATCAGGCGGGCTGCTGCCAGGTGCGCTGGTCAGAGTCGCCTGTGGAACGCCTTCACCACTGCCACTTTCAAAGCTGCCACTTTGCGCCCCATCAGGCGTGCTGGTCAGAGTCGGCTGTGGCACGTCTTCAACACTGCCACTTTCAAGGCTGCCGCTTTGCGCCCCATCAGGCGGGCCGCTGCCAGGCGCGCTGGTCAGAGTCGGCTGTGGCACGTGTTCACCACTGCCACTTTCAAGGCTGCCATTTTGCGCCTCATCAGGCAGGCTGCTGCCAGGCGCGCTGGTCAGAGTCGGCTGTGGCACGTCTTCACCACTGCCACTTTCGAGGCTGCCACTTTGCCCCCCATCAGGCGGGCTGCTGCCAGGCGCGCTGGTCAGTGTCGGCTGTGGAACGTCTTCACCACTGCCACTTTCAAGGCTGCCGCTTTGCGGCCCATCAGGCGGGCTGCTGCCAGGCGCGCCGGTCAGAGTCGGCTGTGGCACGTCTTCACCACTGCCACCACTCGCAAGGCTGCCGCTTTGCGCCCCATCAGGCGGGCTGCTGCCAGGAGTCGGCTGTGGCCCGCCTTCACCACTGCCACTTGCAAGGCCCTCCTGGGCAGTTTCTGTTTTGTTACTAAGCTTGTCGTTTTCAGTTGATTTGACTTGATTGCGCAAGTCATCGCTGTTCTGAAAGCCGTCTTCACGAGAATCTGTGTCTTCAGGCCCATCGTTGTACCCGTAGCCATCGCCTTCGTCCCCTTTGTCCTTGCCATCTTGGAAGCCAAGCCTAGTGGCTGACTCGCCTGGACTGGGAAAGGGCGTCTGGCTTGAGCCAGCCGTATCTTCCGAAACGCCTTTTCTCGGCGAAGTCGGAAATTCCGTCGCGGCCGGAAACATGACCAGCTTCACCAGGACGAAGCCCAGCAAACAAACGACAGCCACAGCCGCCGCCGCTGTTTTGCCAGTAAGCTTGAAGCCGAAGAAGGCTAAATCATCATCAAAGTCTGACGTTGGTCGCGGACGATTTCGAGGCCATTTCCCTCGCAGAAGGTCCTCCTCCTCTGCAGGGTCATGCTTGGCACCTATTTGGCGAGGCACAGGCATGGATCATGGCAAACTGTTTTGGCTGGAAAGTCCATCCTCCATCCTATCTCGAACAAGCTGCAGGGGCGACACATGCAAAGCTTGAAGGCAAAAACCCCAGGCCAAAGTGATCCATTGCTCCGTGCACTTGGCGCTTGGGATGCCTGCAGGTCGCCAATTCACATCTCAGCTCCCAGCTTTCCAGCGGGGAGCTGCGCAAGAACCAGAAGGAGGCTCCCCAAGAGCTCCTGACAGGCTGTGTCAGCTGTAGACAGCTGAGGCCCTTAGCGGCAGAGAGGTCCTTGACTGCTGCATGAGCACTAAACAGGCCTAAGCACTGCAGATTGCGATGACCCTCTCGGGAGATGTGAGGTTCGCAACAAAAATCAAACAGTACAAAGGATGCAAAGCGCCCGCCTTTCAAGGCCCTATGGCCCTCTGGCAGCCGAGGTCAGATTGGAACAGACCCGAGGCTGAGGCCATTGTCGAGCCCATGGCTCGAGTCACATGGCTTGACTTTCGCGCGTTCACGAGCTGCCAAGGTTTTTTGGGCCAGGGAACTGCAATACTTCACCAAGGGCTGCAAAACGGCATGCGTGCGCAAATTAGCAGTCCAAAGTTGCAATCTCTTGTCCAGGCACCGGGCTGAGAGCAGCACTGCGCGCATGACCCATGCGCACTGGAAGTGCAGACTTGAACGAGGCGCTCGCTCGGTTCTTTCATGCGCGGCGAAATATCTCCTCACCGTCTGCGCACTGATGCCTTACCGGCTTTCAAGTTTGGTCAAGGGCCGGCTGAGGCCGGCTGAGGTAAGGATAGTTTGAAGCGTTTCTTGCTGAGACAAGCAGCCATGCGCGTCTGCAACGTGGAAGGGGCGACGCCTCAGCGCGTTGCTGCACTGAAATGCGATGATTCCATGCAGTCCCTGTGAATCCGCAATCTTCCACTATGTCCGCTGGAAAATAGCTCTTAGTTTCATTTGTTTCTTTTTCTTGGCTCTGCTGAGGCTTGAGGCCAGTGCCCTTGGCATGCACCAGACATCCACACTTCCACCAGCCACTCGCCAGTCATCCCAGAAGCAGCCAAAGATCTCAGGATGGCCGGAGAAAGAAGCGACGAGACCCAAAGACCCATGGCACTGGTTGGTTCGTTCACTCAGGTCTTACCTTCTCACCAATTGAGACAAGGCGCGGAGGCAGCCGCGACCATGTGACCAACTGGGCGGCCCCGACGGCCCGCACCGATTCGCTTCTCAAATCCGGGCGATGCCAGCGCACCTGCGTGAGAAGCAGCGCCGCATGCACAATTTATCGGGCAAACAAAGGCGAACAAAAACTTACGATAAGAGAAGAAAAAAGAAAAGAAAAGAAAAGAAAGGAAAAGAGAGAGAGAGAGAGGGGAAAAAAAGAAGAAGAAAAACTGGAAAGCTTGCCCAGGCCGCAACAAGAGCGCAAGCATGCACCGCCTCCATCTCGGGTTGAGAGAGTTCCTGACCGCCAAATGGCGTGGCGTTGCACTTCAGACACTTCTAAATATGTCTTGCTGGCACTTCTGCAATGACGTGCATAGCGCAGCGTCCTCGAAAGATCGCAAGGCCGCATGCGTCCAGTACATGACCAGGTCAACCTCACCTTGATTTGACTCTCCATCCGTCTCTTCCCACCATTCTTCTTCCCTTCCTTTCTCCCTTCTGGCCGCCGTTTCTCCCGGTGTTTCTCCCGTCATTGCTCTTCTCATGTCCTTTCGCATTTCCTCCCCCCCCCCCTCTCTCTCTCTCTCTCTCTCTCTCTCTCTCTCTCTCTCTCTCTCTCTCTCTCTCGTTCGGGGCTGGCTTTCGGCTAGCTCTGGGCTGGCTTGTGGTGGGAGGGCTCCTCCATCTCACTGCTTACGATTTCGTTTCGGTTGCTTCGTAGGTTCTCGGCTGGTTTTGGTGGTTTGGGGCCAGGCTCCGTAACCAAGCAAGCAAGCAAGCAAGCAAGCAAGCAAGCAAGCAAGCAAGCAAGCAAGCAAGCAAGCAAGCAAGCAAGCAACCAACCTCCCGGCCAGCAACGGCCTACAAGTGTCAACTCTCCCCCATGCTCCTGCACTGATCCAGTCCACCCACGATCAGTCTTGACTTCGAACAGCTGGGTCTTCAACCCAGCTGCTCCAGTAGTAGCACCTGACTTCACGCGTGACTCTGGCCCTCGCTCACGCGTGACTGAGAAGCCTCGTTCCTACACTCACTGGCTTTCATGTAGATCTCGAAGGCTGCGAAGGCTGGCCATGTGGCTGAGCTGGGCGCTGAGACGGCATCAAACGCGAAGCTGGCCACATCCCAGCCGACGCCAACCTCCACAGCCCGTTTATGCCAAGCCTCCACCGGGATTTGGGGTCCCGCACCCGCAGGGCTCCCAGAAGGCTCGGCCTGCGCATGGTTTTTATTCGTTCGAAACCTTTGCCGCAAAAAAAACTGCCGGGCGCGCACCCGGACTCAGCTGCCTGGATGCAACACAAATGGTGCAAGCTGCGAGCCCAACGGGAGGCCGGCGCTGGTGCCGGCCGTGCTGCAAGCTCTTCGAGAGCCTGATCGAGCTAAGCCGCGGAAGGGCGCGACTGCTCAGCTCGGCCCTTTCATGGCTTGACACATCTGGCAAAAGTCCTTGCAAACCCACCCAAGAACCGGGACAGACTTACTTAGTGAGGCATGGTGGAACCGAGCTCAACTTGAAAAAAGTGTTGGCAGCCAAGAACTTCCCCCAGATGAACACCACAAACTGCCGACAAGCGGAATTCGGGCATTGGTCTTAGACAAAACTGCTGGCCGCCACTTCTTGCATGTGCGAAGCGAATAAGAACGGCTGAGTCAAAACACTGACATTGCTTGAATGAGGCCGGGCACGCAAAGCAAAGACTTAACACAGCCAGCACCAAGCCTGAAGGAGGACTAAATGGCCTAGTGGGGGAGTCACATGATCCAAAGGTGCTGGGACAGCGGCTTCGATACAGGAGAAACCGGCAACTGCAGCTGCAAATGAGGGTATATCCCATGGACCAGAGCGGGTTCGGCCCCAGGGGGTGAACCAGGAGGTAAGCGAAACCTGGAAGGGAAAAGAAGGCGCCTGGCAAACACACACCCAATCTCCCCCACCAAATACCGCGCTACAAAGGTAGGGCATGAGCTATCAAGTTTCGCAAATCATACAGGCGTGCATTGTTCAAACAATTTACAAGCCAGAAAAAAATAGAAACTAAAAATCAACGGCTGGAGGAAAAGATGGAGAGCATCACCAACACAACATCAGTTGATAAGTAGCACAGCATCAAACTCTCACAATGTGCTCCTCAAGGCCACTGAAAATCGCTGAAACCACAGAAAGGCAACAAAAGGTTTGAAAGCTATACCGCCTCAAGAAAAGCTGCAAACGCCACAAAGGCCATCACAGCCGCTAAATCCGCGGAAACCACAGAAGCCACGAAAGCACGCCGGGTTCTTGCCAATGTATTACTCGACTCTGTAGGTGCCAAGCAGCGACACGTCCAGAGAGCTTGCAGCTCCTCGCAGTGATGGCGAGGCCAGCACAAGGCAGCTGGATGCGTCCGCGGTAGCGCCTTAGGCTCAACACATGCAGAGCTCCTGAACACGTGCAGCTTGCTCAGAGAAATCAAGCTATCAATCAGCTGCCTCACAAGCAGCATGTATTCGTGCCACCTTCCACCCCTTTCAAACGCACGGTTGTAAAACTGCCCATACTCAAGGGATCGTGTGCAGGGATGCAAATACAGCTGCAGAGCTAAGATTGGGACTGGACGTCAAAAAAGGTCGCGTCGAGGCCCGCTCTCCACACCTGGGCGCTTTGAGTCCTTTCCTCAACCGTCCCCAACTCCACAGCCTCAGCCGCGATGAGATGGGACGCGCCTTCCTTGGGCAGTGCGTGAACCGTGTTGAATAAATGAACGGCAAACCCTTCAAAAGGCGGACACCAGCATCCATGGCCAGTGTGATCTCAACGGTTTGCTGCACAAAGGGCAGCTTGACCGTGGGCCAGACCCGCAGCAATGCTGCACATCTCCGAGGTTAGGTTCTTTTTCTGGCAGGGCACGGAAACTCCAGCCAGCGCCAGCAGCATGGCCTGCCGCGTACGCCGCGTACTCTGCTCAAGCCAGTGCTGTTGCATCTTAGCCCAAGCTGCGTCCGGCATTCTCGCTTCAGGTGTCTGCGCGTGCTTTGGGGAAAGCTGGAACCACTGGGCAATGGCATGCGACCCAATGGGAGGAGGGACGCCCTGCCTGGAGCCATCGAAACCCCAGGAACTCGGAATGCCAGGAGGTCCAGCTGCCGGCGATGCCAAAGGCCGCAGTGCGGCCTTCCAGCGCTTCATCTATCTGATCCTGCACTCAACTCAACGCGCAGGCATGCTCTGCACTGGCACCCTGGCCTGGAAAAGCAAAATGAGCATCGGCAAACACAGGCCAGGGGGCACAACACGGAAATGTCCTGCAACGCCTCTGTGCGGTTATTGTCAAACTTCCGGGCAAAGAAGACTGCCATCACTTGTCCTGTAACAAATCGAGCTGAGCCTTCTGTCAACTGAAGCCACACTTCCAGCTAAGTGTCGTTTCACTCCGGCCAGGCGCTCCCAAAAGCCACTGGAGAGCAAAGGTGGCGTCAGCATCTTGAGTTCCTCAGCGTCGTCACACAAACATTGCTTTGACGCGAGTGGCAACTGACTGAGCTGCGTTCATTCTGCAAATCTGGCATCTGCGACCGTGTCCAAGGCTGTATGTGGCCAAGCTTTGGGCAACTCAATTTTTGCCATGCCATTTCAACAAAAGCCACTGCCAAGAAAATAGCAGGTGGAACTGTGCCTGCAAAGCGTCTGGCCCTGCAACTTCCGGTGAGGCAGCGTCTGGAGCCAGCCCGGGCCGATCCCAAATGTGGAAGCCCCAGCGCACGTGCCAAGGACAGTATGGGCCTCGGCTCGTCTTAGGACACAACCACGCAAGGATTGTGGGATCAAAAGATTGCAAAATGCCGCGCGCCAAGCAACATGTATGCAATCTGATCTCTCCCTTCCATCACGGCTGCTTTGCTTCTGTGGTTCGAGGCAGCGGCTGTTGAGTGACATTGTCCTCATCTCCAGCACGTTTGCGCAGGAATCTGTTGGCTGAGTCACACACACACCCCCACACAAATATATACATATATATATATATATATATTATACATATGTATATATATATATACATGTGTGTGTATATGTTTCACTATATACACAACATGAAGGGACAAGGGGCTGAAAGAACTTCTCATCTGGCTGCTGCAGAATACCGAGGTCTGCCAGGACTTGTTGCACTGGAGTGCCGCTCACATTTCGGTTGCCATCCTCGGCTCTCATGTCTCTTGTGCCCTCTGCCAGTGAAGCCGAGCAACCGAGCAAACAAAACCGAAGCAGAAAATCCCAGCGTCGATGTAGTCCGCGAAGTCTCGGGTGATGGCCACCAAGTTGGGCCCCGATGCATGTTGTAGTTGAGGACGGCGAGGATATTGCGTCCCAGGCGCGATGGAGTACAACTCATCCCCGCATTCAAAGACCAAATAGCGGCCGCAGTCGCAATCCTGCACAACGACGCTTGGCTCTTGGCTCCACCCTGCACCAACTGAGCAGGCAGAACTCGATGCCTTCCTTGTACGCGGATCCAACATTGATGAAGTTGCCCCCATTGTTCAGCCACAGAAAGCGGCGCAGTGACGTCAGCTGTGCTATAGGGTAGTCTGAATCCTGCGGGATGGGGTGCGCACCACGGACAATGGTGGCCACAGTGGCTGAGAGGCTGACATTCAGGTTGATGAAGTAATCCCAATCTCGGACCTAAGTCTCACTCAATAGACGGACCTGCTGACTGCCAAGAAGGTCCTTGCGTTTTGCAGCAACCAAGACATGCCACCCAGCCACGCCGTCAAAGTGCTGACCTCAGTGAACCACTGCCTCCAACAAAGCAAAGGTGGCCAGGAAACCATGTTGCCTGATAGCTGAAGCCCGGCATGCAAGTCAGAACCCGACCTCCCAAGCCCCCCAAGGGCCCTGCACCTCCACGGTTGACCCGGTACTCCGAGCGCACCGAAACATGCAAAAAGCCGCGCCTCCGGACCTGCGCGACACGTGCCGCTCTGCCGGCCAGGTTTAAACGAGGATCCCGGCCAAGTCCTTCAGCTGGTCGAAGTACGTGGGGCCTACAGCCGTGACTTCCAGGCTGGCCGTCGCGAGGCCTCCGACTGAGAGCCAAGCGCTTCTCATCTACGTGCCTGAGGGAAAGCCATGTAGAAAAGCCGATCCTTTTCACTGGTTGAAGGACAAACTGTGCAGCTCAAGCGCACTAAAGTGTGCTCTGCGTGAGGCACCACTTTGCCAAGCAATCGCTCAACCTTACAGCCGAAGACGGCAACTTCAAAGCGTGTCGTTCGGCCAAAGTGATTGCACTGGAACGCTCGTGCTTATTTTTCTTCACCCACCGCCCACGATTGCCAGTCCTGCTCACACGGCTCCCTGCATTCCGCGAGTACTTGCGAGTCCGCGTGACTGGTATGCCTGAAGTCGTTGGTGCCCTTTCTGTCCACCTTGCTACCTCACAGGTCATGGCCGCCCCATCGGCACCGAGGCTGGGAGGCTCGCAGTCAGCCCGTCAGCCCGTGCGCATGTCCGCGAGCACCTCGCAGGGGGCACCTCAGGCACTTCAGCATAGCATGACGCCATCACGCCGTAACTTTGTTTGCACATGGGTGTGGGTCAAAATAGGGTGACCCCAAAATGGAACCCTGGTAAATGGAACCAAGCACTAAAACCTGCGGTCCCCTGGTGGTTGAATTTGGACCCATACCCACATCAATGCCAGGTGACCACTCGTGGCCGCGTCGCTGAGGAGGAGCAGATCGGCAAGCTCCACAGGATGTAGCACTGATGCATCCAATGGGCAGCCAACCTGTCCTCAGCGGAAGCATTGACACTGGCGGCAACGCAAGAAATCTGACAGCGACTGCAAACAGGTCCCCTGCCCTGCCTGTATATACCCCGGGCAGCATCTCCTTTTGAATGGCCAGAGGTGCCAACCAGGCATTTAAAGCTTGTCCGTAGCCGTCGCCGTCATCGGTGCGAAGCCAGCGAACCAGCCGACTGGACGCCAAGAGATGAAAGACATCCTGCGTCAGTACCACCAGCTCAGGTGACAACCTCAGTTTCTGCATGTGGTAAGTGAGCCAGCCCAGTGCAAGCCTCACATTGACAGCATCAAGAATCAAGCGAGATGCACATTTGAAGTCCACTTTCCCACGACTGTCCGCGATGCAGCATTCCCCCATGCCTGTTCAACGCCCGACAGCACGCCGAAAAGCCTCAGTGGCACCGCCCCTCGACAAAAAGAGATGCAAAAAGCAAAGTGGAGCAACGCGACGCAAGCAGCACAAATAAAACCAGAGCAAACCAGCACGAAGCAGCGCAACGGTCAAATGCAATCATGAAACACCATGGCATTGATAAAGGTGTCCTCCTGCGCAAGTAGTAGCCACCGGAACTGGAAACGCTGCCTGGGCGACGGGCAGCTGCAGTTGCAGGCAGGAAAATCTGAGTCGGCCAGGCTGCAGGAAGGCAAAGCACCATCGGAGCTGCTCCTCAGCATTGGCCATCAGCCCGGGGGTTAGCTTCGGCGACAAGTGGGCCCCGGCGAACACGCCTTTGCGATGTGGCATTCCACACTGCCAGTGTGCTCGATGCACGCTGCTAAACGTGCATCCTCAAAACAAGAACCAAACAACGAAACACCCGAAACAGAACTCAAAGGTGCTAAAATCAAACACTTTGGCAAGGCGGAGTTGCATGGGGAGGCAACCTTTGGAGGCAGTGCAAACATACAGCTACAAATGAATAACATAGATATCAACTGTGTCCTTTTTGTGTGGCACTCTGTCCCTTTCCTTCCACGCCAAGCGGAAAGCTGTACAGCCAAGTCTCCGCACCTGACACCTTGGAAGGCATGAAGACGAGATCACCATATTCAGCCTCCTCGCACAAAGGACGCCACTTTGGGACTCAGGCTGCGCGACTTCCTTTCAAGGGGCCTCGTCCATTATACTGCCACTTGCTGCATTCTCGTCCAAGAAGAATGCCCAGCGCACAGCTGAAAGCTCCATGAGCTTTGGTAGCCATACGTTCCTCAGAGAAAGCCCACTTTCGAGGCAAGCAAGTGGTCCCTCTCTCTGCGGCATTTGCCGCTCACCAGCTTTGACGAGGCGCGATGATTGGCCATGCTCTCCACGCAGGGCATTTCTAAATTGTGCGCTGCGATCAGACGCAGAAGAAAAGATCGCTGCGAAAAACCTCAACAAAGCTGGGGTAAGTTAAAACACACGTGCAGAAAAACCAAACAAAATAGCAAGAAAACAAACTGTTGAGCCAAGCCATCCAAGGTGCATGGCAAAGTCAGCCTTGGCTTTTGCCCGCTCATGCCCAAAAGCCATTCACCACAATCCCCCCCCGCTTACGAGTTGATGCCACATTTGAACGCTGAAGGGTTTGCATGCAGGGCCTGACATTGAAGCGTTCGAGTTGCTGGGGGGTCAGGCTGCGGTCCGCAAGTGTCGTCAGAAATGTGCCAGGGAGGCACATCCTTGGAAAGAAATTCAGCGTGGTCGGCTCCATTGAGAATATCATACTTCTGGAGTAGGTACATCATGCTCGGGAAGCCAACCTTCGTAAACTCGGCGGTCATCAGCTCTTGCATTCGGTCACGCCGCTGCTTGTACAGGCCTTTCATCTTTACACGGAAGTGTGGAAATGTTGAATCAAAGCAAACTGCGGCGTGCAGGCCCAAGTACTTGTTGGAATAGAAGAACTGCTCATGCTCGCCAACCTGCAAGTTGTCTTGAAACTTGAATCCCCGAAGGCGAGCTGTGCGCCCAAGAAATGCCATAGGATGGATTCCAACTCGAGTGCAGCCATCAGCTGCTGATTCGGCCACGATGGGATCCAGGTAAAGCCGGTTGCTGGTAGCCCGCAAACGGCCCCTGAACGCCCCGAAATTCCGCTCATCTTCCAGTATGGGAAAGCCGAGCATGTCAAAAGGCAGCGTCAGCGAGTGCAAACGACTGCGCATGTGCCACAGCATGCACTCCAAGCACGAGAGTGGAGACCGCACAAAGTCGTCATCCAAAACCAGGATAAACTCCGTGTTGACACTGCTCACCAAGAGCTTCTTGCCACGAGATAAGCCGAAATCGAAAGGCACATCGATCACTGACATGTACGGGATAGCGGGGTGGCGCCGTTGGCTGGGCTCCAAGCAGCCTGCAGCTTCTGGACATTCGCAGGTCACCAGTACCGGCAGCCGACCATACATGGTGCGGAAGGACGCCCCCAGCCGATCCAGGAGTTCGCATCGGGAAGCCGAGTGGGCCACCACCGTCATGTGCTCCTCTACATCATCCAACAAGGCCTCCAGCTTTGCCACCAGCGAAGTCCCACATGTGCCAAGGCTCAAGCTGAGGTTGGTGAAGTGGCTTTGCAGCTCGGCCTCCGTAAGCCGCAGATCGTCCTCGGGGCTTCGGGATCGGCCCGGTAGTGGGTCGAAGGCCAGCAGCGACATGGCGGCGTTGACCCAGGCGGGCGAACCACTGAGTTCAAAGCGGCCCTTGTCCACTGACAAGGCCTGCCGACATGCCTTAGCTGCTTGAGCTTCATAGCTCTGGCTTTCCTGTCCAGCCTCGACCCGTACACCAGTGCGGCAATAGAACCGAAGTTGCTTTCCATCATCCTGGATGGAAACGCGAGCATCATTACGCCCACAGCTCGAGGTACCCACAACCCGCACATCCCGGAAGGTGCGGAATCCACCCATGTTGCCAGGCAGTGCCGCCTCACGTGGCAGCAGCTTGGGCTGTCCAGCATCAAAGGTTTGAACCATCGAGTTCTGCATCATATCCAGCATGTCCACAGGTGTCCGCCAGTGCCGACCCGCCGAGTTTTTGACGACTCCAAAGTGCATGGGCTTGGCAGCACCGCGCACAGACAGCATGCGCTGGGCCATGTCAACCACGCTGCGTGGAAGGACATTCCGCGCGGAAGGTGGCCCATAATCCAACGGAAGAAACATTTTCAGAGAACGGACCAGGACCCAGTCTGCTCGTTCCTTGTGCGCCCGCGCGGAGAAGAGCTGGCTATGAAAGTGAGGTCTGTCCTCCAGCTCGTCTTCAGAACCGCGGCGACCAAAGTAACGAAAGCCATCTGGAAAGTGGGGCTCGGCCAGTGACCAGCCAGGCAACAGGACAACTGCACAGCTGTCATCTGCAAGTGTCTGTTGCCGAGTCCGGACATAGGCTTTGTACATCTTGGTGAGAATCCCATCGAAGCCGGGGACTGCACCATGCTGCACATAGCTTGATATCCAAGCTTGCAAAAGCTGCTTACCGAAGTCACAGTCTTTCGGCAATGCTCTTGGGGCCAAATGTGAGGCGCAAACCTGGCCATGGTCACTTTTGCGGGTCCAAAAAGATTGCTTCATTTGAAAACAACCCTCCGCTGGCCGAGGCTCGGTTGTGACTCCATCGCCACGGTCTGTGTGCGATCTGGGGGACCACGACTTCTCAAAGTCCTCTTCCTCGAGCACATCGGGCGGCAGCGGCGCGCCTGCGAAACATGCCCCGCAGGTCTTCCGAAAGCTGGGCCCTTCATGTCAAGCAATCCTGGCTCCAGAGCCCGTTCCAGGAATATGGCAGCTCGGTCCAGCGAGAGGGGGGCAGGCAGCCATGAATCGAATGGATTCCTTACTTTGGCCAGGCGGCAAACTGCCAACCAAGCCGTTGAGATGCAACAAGTCAGACTAAAAAGCAATGTACTGAGAAGAACGGCCTTAACAGCTGTACCTCTGCCTCCAACCTCACATATTTCAGCAGGATTCGGCAAATGTTATCTGTCAACCAGCGTGTGGCCAGGCAATCCTGCCGAGCGTCAGCAGCAGCATATCCAAACCCAGGCTGACCTAGCATTCAAATTGACTCAAGCCCTGCGAAAGAAAAATAAGCCAAAAATGCAAGCAACCTTGATTCGTGACGTGTTTCATAAGACCAGCAGCTCCACCAAATAGAATTTGCAAGGCGAGAAGGCCTGCAGTCACCTGCTGCAATGAAGACCAAACTCAACAGCCCGGCCCGAGCATGCAGGCGCATGGAAGAGTGGGGAGTCTTGGGCGCAGGCAGTGAAAGTGAATCCATGTGGCTCCAAGCCGATCCGACCCAAAACCTCCTGTAGCTGCTGGTCAGGTAGCCCAAACCTGCGCACCAAAAAGAACGCTGCTGTCAGGTGCACTGGACTGCACTGGCCTGTCCATGGGAAATACGGCGCGGTAGACCATTGTCATAATCAGGTCCGCTCGCATGGGAAGAAGCACCACGCAATAGCCATCCTCCAAATAACTATCCTTTGTCGAGCAGTTGGGAGGCGTATCGACTGACCGGTGAGCATTCAAAATCGTCAGCCTAAATTTCCCCTTCAAGCGTCTAGGGTGTCAAGCAAGTCATCGGCATGTACTCCGAAGAGAAGAAGCACCACTCGCGCCAACCTCAAGGCAACGCAATTCATGGCAAGAGGACTGTACCTGCAGCACTTCACTTTAAACAAGTGGCGGATGGTTGAAGAATACCGCATCGATGGCTGAAAGCTCCGTGGCTGACAGACCTTCGGAGCAGCCCTTCTGCCCTCCAGCCGCCACCCCCACACCCCCCACACCCCCACACACCCCACACACCCACAACACCCCCACACCCCCACAACACCCCCACACCGCCACACCATGCCTGTGGAGGGACCCTGGGATGAGCGCACCAAGAAGAAGTTGGTGGCCTCAATGCACAACTCCTGCGAATGCCTCGGCAACGGCAAAGAGAAAGCCCTTGCCTATGGCGCCATGGATGAAACCAAGGCGCGAAACCCTGGCACGGGCATCCTCATAGAGAGAATCCACTGACCAGCTCAGGGGCACCCTGGCTGACATCCAGGCAGAGAGCCAAACCCACAGCCCCAGAGCCACGGCCTGTCCAGCTCCGCAGCAGCAACAGCCAGGAGGGCCAAGGCTCTTGGCTTTGCCATGGCAATTCTGGCAGAGCATCCCAGCTGGGCAACAGCCACTATTGCAAAGCCTAGATGAAAAGGGACCGTTGCAGTTCTATGCCAAACCCCGACCTGCACTGACTGACAACTGTTTTAAACGCGCATGTTGTACTGCGCATCACGAGCTTGGAGAAAGGCTGCACTTCCGTGGCTTGAGCGTGGCAAGAAGAGACAACGATTCGCGGCCTGGTGTGCAAAGCGAAGGCTGAGCAGCTTGCATTTTGTGGATATCCATAGGCGAGCACGAAAAAGACCACTTTGGCATGCCTGGCGGCTCCAAACATCCATCCCACTGGACGCTGATGCAACCCCTATGATATGGAAGCTGGGTCCAAGACCGGACCCGGTCCAGGCTGACACCAAACTGACCTCAGTGGCATGGAAACTTTGAGATGGCAGGTGCCCCATCCAAGCGCAAGCGGCTTGGAAGCTTCCGCTGGCAGAAGTCCTCCTGCATGCCGTTTGGCTGTCCATCATTTTGGGGGATTTGTGCACCACCCATTTTGGAACCTATTTTAGTGGGGATTCGGGATGTTCTCTGGGGGTACGGGATTTTGACCCATGCCCATTTGGCAAGACAAACGAGCATCCCAAAGCCAGCCAGCCAGCGCTCCAGTGGCGGGCTGCTTCTGATCGTGGAGACGGACGCAACCCTCTGACAATAGAAGCTCTTCAGGCCCTGGCAATGCAACACTCAAAGCTGAGGCATCCCCTCCAGGTCAATGCATATTTCGGCACATCTGCGCGAGTCTGCGGCCTTTTTTTGAAACCTGTTCAGCTATCTCACAAAGCTGCCGCGAGGCATTTATTCAACAACATCGCAAGAGACTGTGAGCTGCGTCTTGTCAAACATGATATCGAAGCTCTCCCCCGCTTTACCTGCAACATTCATTGTAGTGACGTCAGACCCGCATGAGGCTCCGGTGGCTGCACGCGCACACAAACACGCAATCAGCACGCAAACCCGCCTTCCACCGCCCAATTGCGACCATGGCCTTTGCTCTTGGATCCGACCGCCGCTTTTGACGGCGTACCAGGCTTCAGCACAACCACCTCCTTCACAAAAACGGTGAGCACGGAGCAATGCAAAGCACAACCACACTCAAACCACCCCCACCCACACTCAAACCCACACCCACCTACACACACACACACACGCCCGTCAGGCCCGGGCCTCTTTTTCCCCACCCGCGGGGTATAGACGGACATCCCACGATGCGTTCCCAACTATCTGGAATTCTTCACGCCGCATCTCTCCAGATTTTGGAGCATCAGGCCGCACTGTGATGGTCTGCTTGAGCGTGCCAGAATCGTCCGCAGACATCGCTGTGCTGTGGATGCTCCACTTCTTCCACGACCCCACGAGGTGATGCGCCGTGATGGCTGCCGGTGCTGCTGATGGCTCGGCTGATCCGCTATCCCCTTCTGCCGGCTGCCTCTGCAGGGCCGAGCTTGCACTTGTATGGTATACCATCTGACAAAGCAACAACTCACAAACACCTGAAGCCTATTGCTGCAATCGAGACACACATCTGAAGCTCTGTCCTTCCGTTTCTTGTCATCCCACTCGGGGGAGAAGCTGACTGACATCCCAGGTGTCAGAGTGACGCCCTCAGCAATGCCGCTGCGATGCACAAAGACGTCATCACCCCCCTGGCTGGGGGCAATAAAGCCAAATCCTTTCTGGTCATTCCAAATCCTTAGGTGAAACGAGACTGGCAAAGGCCGTCAGCCGCAATCGCACATCACTTAGTCAACTGAGTCATGGCCGCGTGCAATCAAGTGTCTTAACAATTCCGGACCGTCTGTCTGCAAAGCCACGAACCAGAAGTGACGAGAGCGCCGGCAATCGTTGGCGAACGGGGGCGCCCAGCGGGTGCTGCCGACATGATCGGCAGAAACGAGCTACAAACGCCATCTAACACAAGAAAAGTGCCTATGGCTCCTGAATGTTTGAGACTGTCCCTGCAACATAGCTCATGCCAACGGCAACTGCACAATTGCGCCACCGTAGACTTCACCAGTCACAAAGTCTGCAACATCCAAAGGTGCCTGCTTGCAGGCCGGGGAAGCTTCCTGCCTCAAGGGGGTATGTGAAGCCTCTCATGTTGCATACAGTGAAATAACATAGGCCGGCCATATGCTTCGCAGTGCATCATCGCCACGGATTGACCGACCTTGAAAGCATGCGGAGCTGCGACTCAAACATCTACATTCCGAAGCTCAAATAGCAGTGCTGGAACTGGGGCATTGGCGCATGCAGTCCTGGTAGCCATGGACAACAAAGGACGACACATTGCAGGAAGCTATTTCACAAACGCGTGAATGACCCCCCTGCAAGCGTCCTTGTAGGACACTTTGCGCCCATCAATGGCCGCGCTCAACAAAGAAGATGCCGTCGCACCATGGAAGCATGCAAAGGCGATGACCTCGCCATAAATGACAACAGCTATCGACCCCATGCAGAAACATCTTGCCTGCCAAGGCATGTTTGAACGGCATGGCCACGAGCTAGGCAATCAGCGGGCGGTGCTGCATCTGGTGTTTCATTGGGCGGCAAATCGATCTCTTGGCCCGTGGAAGTCCCAAAAATCGCCGCGTTTTTCTCAAGGGAAGGCGCCGCGTAACTTGGCGAAGAGGAAACTATGTTCTACTTGTTTGTTAATGGGAATTTCGGCGCTAAGCCTTAAGCATGTCCAGGACCAAGCCGGTTGACTTTGGCAACTTGACGGCTCCAAAGTCATTCTCTGGGCTGCGCAGCAGGCACGCAAAGCAGCTCTAGAAAGTAGTTCACAAAAATGTTCAACAAAAAACGTAAGTTCAAATGCAGGCACCCACACATGTGGAAAAAATGAAGACATGGTATCAATGTTGCAGCTATCAAGCACTCCAGAAAAATGCAAATGAACGACACATGCACGTATTTTACCCAGATAACTGAAATCCATTTCCGCAGATTGCTGAAAGCTTTTGCGGTTCTAACTTCCAATAAAGAGGGGAAAGTGACTTGCGAGATTCACGGCTGGGTGCCAGGGGGCGTGTAGTTTGGATGCTGGTGTAGGTGCTGTTTGGGGTGCTATTGAGGTCCTGGTGATGGTGCGGGCGCATTTTTGTAAAGTTGACGGCAGGGTGCTAAGACATGCAGCTTGGGTGCTGGTGCAGGTATTTTGGGGGGCCTGGTGACGGCACAGGCGCATTTTCGGGGCATGCAGTTTGCGGTCGTGGGCATCGGCCTGGTTTTTCGCAATCTGGGGCCTATACTGCCTATACTGGTGTGATATTAAGGCTCTAACTTCTAAGAGAGAAAGGAAAGTGATTTGCGAGATTGAGGACAGGCGTGCAGTTTGGGTGCTGAGGGGGTGCTGTTTGAGTGTCGGTGATGGCGCGGGGTGGCCCTCTCTTTGCCCGAGCTCAGCTCCACCCGAGGCAGTCGGCCGGGTGAGGACACGGGCTTTTCTGCACGGTGACGCGTACGCAAGCGCTGCCAGATTTGATTTCTCCACAAACATGTCCATTTTGTTGTTTGCTACCGCTACGCTCTCATAGGGACATGGCAGGGGGGAGTGAAAATCAAAATTGGAATTCATAAGAGCATGTAATTAATTCTGTACAACCGGCTCAGCATATATATTTTTTGCCAGCACTTTTTTCGGCCCCAAAACAAAACAAAAACTGCTTAGACGTTCGCCACGGCGTTGCACCACACTGGTTGTTCTGGGCACCCCTGTGGGCCCTCCTGCCTTCGCCTAGGACCATTTGCGTCAGAAGCTCGTGCCAAGCACAAACGCTGCTCGACCGCATCCGTGCCCGACTTACACATGCTCCTCTTCTGCGCGCGGCCGTGGTGCAACTTGCTGAGAGCATTGCCGAAACGGAATGCCGCTGGCCACGATAGGCCCACCAACGCCGCCCAGCACGGGGACATGCAGCGGGTCGAAGCCGGCTGCGGCAGACAACTTCCTGGGGCAGCCCAGGCTGCCCAGAAGCAGCCATCCATGAGCAATTTAAGGATGCTGGCCGCAATTTATTTATTTTTTGCGCCTGCCAGGGGTGAAACACCGCGCGCGAAGTGAGACTGCAGAGGTGAAACAACCGAAGCACAGAGCCCCAGCGGCACTCGCGCCCCGAGACAAGGGGAGGGAGCGGCGCATCCAGGGCCTTAGCCTCGAAGGGGGAGACGGCTCGGCGCGCCCGCATCTGCAAGCGGCAAGACGTCGCCGAGCAGCGGCCCCTTCTCAAACTTACTTGAGAAGCCTTGAGGGAAGCAACACGATTCAGATTGTCAAAGGGCTTTCGGCCGCAAAACAGGATTTTGCGAGTCTCCACCTTGAGAGGTCATAGAAAAGTGATTTAGGAAGCACTGTTTCGCAGGCCCTGAAGCAAGCTCTGATGCGTGGCCGGAAAGGTCCGGGAGTCGTGGCTTTCAAATGAGGCGCTTCAGGCTGCGGGGGAGGCGTGGCTTTAGAACGTATCTCCTGAACACCATCAAAAACCCTCGGCGTCGCGCCCGCCGCCGGCGCGGATCCGGCAAGGGAAAGGGCAAGGGCAAGGGTGCCGGACACGGCAAAGGCAAGCACCAGGGCCAGCAGGATCACGTGGCTGCCGCCGCCTACGCGCTCGCGGAGGCCTTGCGCGGCCACCGGTGAAACAGCTGCTGGTGAGGGCGGGATTTTTTACATGGCCACGCCCGAGCTAGCTTCTGCTCGTCAGGCTTGGCGGCACGCGCGCCCTCGCGGCGATAGCCAGGGCTGGAATCGGACAAGGGGCCTGCTGCGAGCCGCCCGGCCCACATACCTCTGCCCTCCCAGGGGCGTCCTCCGGGTGGCGCACGCCCAGTCTTTGGAGCGATGCGGGGGACAGCGACTGCGTCCTCCTCTCCGCAGGCAGCCGCTTCGGAGCAAAGGCACGTACAGCCAGGAATTCCACGCAGGGATAGCGCCTGACGGACGTCGGCGCGGCAAGCGGCTCGAACCCCGGCCGCTTGCGGTGCAGCGTCGCCGGGCCGCCCGTCAGCAAACAGTGGAGCCCATGCAGCCAACTTCGGCGCGGACTCTGCCCCAGAGGACTTTGGCGCGGACTCTGCCCTGGAGGACGGGCCGGACGAGCCACCAAGCAATCTGCGACTCGTTTCGTGAGCACGTCACGTCCGACCTTGCCTTGAGCTGGCAAGGAGGAGCAAATTCCACGCACGAGCGCGAGCGGCCTCAGAGCCCGGATCGTGGGACGCTGCGTAGCATCGGCGCCTGCCTGGCGAATTCTAGCGGGGGGTCTATGCTGTCCAGGCTCTCCCAAGACGCGCGTGGTATCCGGGAGCGCTTGGTGGCTCCTGGCTGGCCGCTGGATGGCCCTGTTGGAAGGTGGGCGGACTTGCTCGCGGGCGGCCAGCCGCCCGGGCTTTCTGAGGAGCCAGGGGAAAGGCGCAGCGCGACGTTTTGCCACGCCTCCGCACCCCAGACTTTGTTCTGCTCACAGTCCGGCCCGCAGGCGGGCGCCTGGCTCTCCGCCATGCCCGCCGACCCGGGCGCGGTCCTGACTCCGGAGGCCATGCAGCTTGCCCTTCGGCGACGGCTGCGGTCGCCGCTCCCGCTGCGGGGCATGGGTGACCTTTGGGGACCACTATGCAGCGTGCACGCGCACAGGTCTTCTTGCAAGGCGGGCAGTTGTGCTGGAGCAGGCGTGGCTGCACAATGCCCGCGAGGCGGTCGGCCCTGAGGGCCATGTCGTGCCGCAGCAAGCTCACACGACTGCCCCGGGAGTCGCAAATGGTGACCGGAGACGCCTGGACCTCGTCGTGTATGGGGCCACGGCGCGCGGCGAGGCACTTTGCTGCGACGCCACTCTGGTGCCCCCCCTGCGGGCGGATGGAGCACCGGTACCGGGGGCTGCTGTCAGGGACGGCGTTGCCCTGCAACACGCTCGCCGCAGAAAAAGGCGGCGCTACCCCGAGCTGCAGGCGGCGGGGCCCCACCGCCTCGAGGTTGCCGGTGGGGCTGCGAGGCGGTCGGGTTCGCCCGGCTCCGCGCCCAACGCGCGCCGCCTGCGCGTTGGGCGCGCTGGGCCCGAGTGGTGTTGCGTTGCGTGGCGAGGCGCCCGCAACCGCTCGCTCCCGGCGCTGGACGGGGAAAAAAAAATACTTTTGCAACTCATGAGAGGGTATCGCTTCTCCTCCACGCATCTGTCCCAATTCGCGTCCGTACACTGCTAGGTGGCGTTGCTACGTTTCGGAGTCGCGCTGCTAGATGCGGGGCTACGGGCGCGGATGATGCCAGCAGACTTGGCGGGACTGGTCAGGTGAGGAACAGTGAAGCACTGGCTGGCAAAAAGGCCGACGTTTGCTGCAGCACACGCGGCACAGCCACCTCAGGGCCTGTGAATCCTTCTTGTTGTTTTCTCCTTGCAGCCGTCCTTCGGGTGAAACGTCAACGAAAGCGTGAAACGGCGGCAAAAGCGCCCCGCACGCAAGCGATTCAGCCAAGCACGCGCTCGAGCGGCGGCTCGCGCAGGCTGGCGCATTGCGACGGCGCCGGCCACATGACCAGTCCAAGCGGCGCCTATCACGCGCGTCAACGCCCGCAGCAGTGGTGTGGGCAAGCCATTGCTGTGGCACCACCTGACCTTCGGGGCCCGCAGCCTCACGCGCAACCCGCACACAGGCTCGCTCGGCGATCTTGGCGCCGAGCGAGCAGACCAGTCCGCGGACAGGCAAGGGCGTGATCCCCGAAAGCGTCAGCGATGCCCCCACAGCCGCACCGGTTGGGAGCAATGGGCAGGGGCAGCCGCAGCCGGCGCCGCAGCGCAACTTGCATGGAACCCGGTAGACGCGTCAGCCGGCATGGCCGTCAGCCAGGCTCCAGCCTGGGCCCCCGCTTGGGACCGGAGCAACGCCTTCGAAGATGGGATGGCGGCAAGGATGGCAAC